GACGCTTTGGGATCCAATTTCGGCTACGCGTCGCTCGTTGATCTATTTGGGAGTTACATGTGGTAGCACGTGAGTGTTTATATACCCTCTAATGGGTGATGTTGAAGTCTCAGCTGGTATTGGTCCTAAGGTCCTGGAGGGCTTGAATGTAAACAGGTCTGCTGGCAGTGACTGGCTACACCCGGCCATCATCAGACCTCTAGCTTCTGTGTTTGCCCCTGCAATAACCGCACTCCCTAAGGGCTGAGATAGTACCTAGTGATTGGGCGACTCCCATAGTAGTAGCCATCCACAAGAGTGGAGATAGGAAGCAACTTTGTAACTACCGACCCGTACGTTTGACCAGTGTGCTGTGTAAGGACTCATTGTTAGGAACGCTCTCTGTGGGCACGTCACTCGACATAAGTTGATTAGCCCTGCCAAGCACGACTTTCTCAAAAAGAGATCATGTCTGAGCAACCTTCTTTGTTTCTTAGATCAAGTTACAAAGAGATTAGATGGAGTTCAGAAAGTCGAAGTATGCTACCTGGACTTCAGGAACGCTTTCTACTCGGTAAATCACCGGCTCCTGCTAGTAAAACTCAAGAGTTTTGGTCTTCCAACAGCTCTAATCAGATGGATAGAAGCTTGGCAGTGTATCCAGCGGAGTGAATCAGGGCTCAGCGCTAGACCTGATGCTCTTTCTGCTGTTTGTAAATGACTTGGTCCAGGAGCTACCGGTTCCCGTCTTCATTATTGCCGACGACGTACGACTAGTGAACTCAGGACCTGTAGATCGACTGGAGGATGATCCGGCTAAGGTGGTCCGGTGGACACAGAAGTGGGACTTGGAGCTAAACGCTTCCAAGTGTCACGTTCTAAATACTGTATGGCTTCCGGTTCGAGTGGCTACGACCACTAAACCGACGGTCTTCGCTCGCGTAGACCGAATGCTGGATCTGGGAATTTCGGTCCGCGAGGACTTAAAGCCCAGTGATCAATGCCTTGTCGCCGCACAAAATGCGAGGCGGCAATTGTTCCAGCTTAAGGCGGCCCTGTCGTCCAGGAACGCTGAGGTTTTCCTACCTCTACATAAGGCCATGGTTAGACCGCAGTTAGAATACTGCGTGCAGGCTTTGGCGCCTTACTTGAAGAAGAATATCATTTGCCTTGAGAGGTTCCAAAGGTTAGCTACTAGGATGATCGCGGGGATGAAAGGCAAGTCATATAGAGAGAGGTTGGAATCCCTAGGGCTTTTCTCCATGGAGAGGAGATGCCTGAGAGGTGACATCATTGAGACCATCAAAATAATGAAGGAGCTGGCTGGGCTAGAGGCAGATAGTCTGTTTACCAGAGCACCGTTCGAGTCAACAAGGGGGCATCATCTGAATCTAATGAAACTCAGTAACCGACTCGATTTTAGCCATAACTTCCTCACGAGTAGAGTTAAAGATGAGTGGAATCAACTATCTTCACTACTAGACTGTAGGACATTGGAAGAGTTCAAAAGGCAAGTAGATGGGGTCTGGATCAGCCTCTATCCGGAGATTTGGTAGAGTTCCTAGAGTGCCAGTTTTCTGTTTGCAGATGACGTCAAGATAGCTGGGTGGGATCTAGCNAAAGGTAGTACAATGATAGGCCGTAAAATGACACCTGCCACTAAATGTCTCTAAATATCAGATACTGACGACCAGAAATGAGAAACAGACAGCAATGGGGCCTGTCGATACAAAGGGTGCACGAGGCAAAGGATCTAGGCATAGTGGTCACGCGGGATTTCAAACCCAGCACCCAATGTGTGAAGGCCACAAACAAAGCCAGGGGACAACTGTTTCATCTATGCGCAACGATGACATGCAGAAAACCAGGGGTCTTTATCCCTCTTTACAAAAGCATCGTCCTCCCGCATCTGGAATATTGTGTGCAAGCTTGAGCTCCAATCTTTCGGAAGGACGTCGATGTCTTAGCGAGGGTTCAACGTCTAGCCACGAGAATGATAGCTGGGCGACGGGGTAAGAGTTTTAAACAGCGGCTCATATATTAAATTCTGTTCTTCCTCAAACGGTGGCGGATGAGAGGAGACTTAATCGAGACATTTAAGATCGCCAAGGATATATCAGGCCTTAGGTGTGACGACCTGGTCTCCTGGGTTCCGTATAGAGGCACGCGGGGACATAACTTGCGTTTGCAGAGAAGCTACTCTAGGCTACAACTGAGAGCAACGTTTTTCACTAATAGGGTAATTCCGTTGTGGAACCTTTTGCCACTGTCAGTGGTAAGCTGCAGTACAGTGAATGTTTTTAAAAGGGCACTTGAGTGTTGGATAGCGGTTTTCCTTGAGGTAAGCGTTTAGTACCATCTATAACCTAACCACAAGGGATGTGTTACTGCACCACATATTTCTGCCTTTCAGAAACATTGCATATCGAAGTATTGGAGGCCAAGGAAACCCGCCGACAACACCCAAATCTGGACGCTCGATTGGCAAGAGCCACAACTCTTCCTGTGAGAACTGAACTGAACTGAACTGAACTGAATTGAGAGTAGCTGTTCCATGCTGCCTATTTTCGAATAACCTCCCCTTTCAGATACGGACCCCATAAGGGAGGCTGTTCCGAACGAAGCAGTCGACTGTGGTCAAACGGTTGACAAAATTCGAATCTCCGGAAGAACGTGGTCCTGGCTGGAGCAAGAATCTGGATCCTCGGTTGGCGAAAGCCTTTGTCGTCCTGTGCAACCTGACCCGAACTCTGGAAGTCTGCTACCTAGACTTTCAAAAAGCCTTTGATTCGGTCAACCACAGGTTGATGATGATAGAGCTTCGACGCTTTGGGCTGACTCCCAAGGCGGAACGGTGGTTATGTACTTGTTTAAAGGGTTGGAGCTTCGAGGTGAAGATAGAGGGGGAAGTATTCCACAAAGGAGAACTCCGTAGTGGGGTCCCAAAGGGGTGGGTTCGGGGTCCACTACTGTTCCTACTGTACATCAGTGATTTAGTGGAGTGCTTGGATGACCCATGTTTCCTCTACGCTGATGACGTAAAGCTGATAGGCAACCCCAACTCAGAGACTATACAGAGTGATCAAAGCAAAATCTACCAATCGTCTGTGCTATGGGATTTGCCGCTAAATGTCAGCAAATTCCAGAGACTCATCGCTCAGCAGGAAGAAGATCAGAGTAGACGTCTCGGCTCACCAGGCACTGGGAGTGAATTGGATGTAGTGACGGAGGCCAAGAATCTTGGTATTATGATCCAGGCTGATTTCAAAAAAGTGAACGTTGCCGACAAGTGGCACGAAGGGCACCAGGAGCTCTCTACCAACATAAGAGAGCAGTGAGCTCCAGGAGACCGGAGGTTGTACTACCACTGTACAAGGTCTTTGTGCGCCCTCATCAGGAGTACTGTGTTCATACCTGGAGCCGATATCTAGCTGGGGATAAAAAGTACTGGAGAAGACGCAGCAGTTCTCTGACCACGCAAAATTCAAATGTGCCGGGCATCGAATTGACAGATAAATAATGATGTATGGTGTTTGTGATCGAGAAATGTCAATAGAGAAGCAACACACAGATAGAGTGATGTCACCACAAATCGTCATGGGTTCGGAAGGATTTTCAAAAATTCAGCATGAAATACACCGGCCACCAAAATCCTTCCTGCGCTCGTCTGAGTCAACGGGCTGGCGCAGGTAATTGATTCTCGTCTACCTATCTACCTATCTAGTCCCTATTGTCAGTGCTTCTAACTACGAACTGTTCAACCTTCGCCACACTCGTTGATCTTGACCTCCGGCGACTTGCACGTTTCTTCGTTCAGATATGCCTTCTGCATCAGCAAGCTTGCAGCCAGTCGCACGATAACTTTAAAGCAGTGCGTCAAATGAATATCATTACAGATAAAGTCTCGATGTGTAAACAAGGAGGAGGGAATGTGGGCGATGTAATTAATGTTTAAGTTTTACAAATGAAGTCATATTCAGCATGCAGGTGATTGTGTGTATTTAAATTGATGAATGTTGTGAGGACATGGGTCACACCTACGAGGTTAATGTCATAAATTGTGTATCAATCTGATTAAAGGACATTCAGTCACGAAATGAAAAAAAAGAGGACGTATGGCAAGGACGTGGAAGCACGTGTTCATACAGGTGGAGTGAATATCACTGGGGCTCAATTGGTACAAAGGGCAGGTAAGTGAATATAATACATGGCGGGTCTCCGCAACTCCATCAAGTAACGGCATGAACGTCATCGCCCTCCAAAAAACACTCGTCGAATATCGCGCACCTGTTCGCCGGCAGATGTTTTCAATTTCACTGTTCTTACTTGTCCATCTGAGTCCGTGTGGCTTTCTATGACTACACCCAGTGGCCAGTTGTCGCGTTGTAGCTTTTCGTCGGCCATAAGAACAACGTCCCCAACCTTCAGTGACCGTCCTCTATGCAACCACTTCTGTCGAGCTTGAAGGGTTGGCAGGTACTCTCTTGTTCAACGCTTCCAAAACACCCGTGCCAGGTAGTTCGCATGCTTCCAACCCGAGGTATAGCAACCACTAATAGTTTTTGGCATATGTAGACCTTCATTGGACCTCAATAGCAGAAGGTCACTCGGAGTTAGTGCCAGTCCTTGCAGGTCATCGCTGGTGACGGGTACAAGCGGTCGGTTGTTGAGTATCCTTTCCGCCTCTACCAGAAATGTGCTCAAAGTTTCATCATCCGGCGCCTGTTATTCATATATCGCCGTC